CCCTACACTCCAAACCCCAAACCCCAAACCCTACGAAGCCCTTTCGGGTTGCAGCATGGTCTACAAAGTTCTTTCGGGGTTGCCACAGACAACGCCTGCCTGCGCACATTCGTGCTCTGCACATCGGGCAGGTAGCCAAGCTCTCATTCGCAGTATTTGTTGAGGGGTGACCTGTCCCTAAGGCTCGATGTACGTACCCATAGAATATATACTTAGGCCTGACAGTACTTATATAGGAACTACTTTAAGGCCTAAGTTTTTGCTATATGGGTACATGGAGCCTTCGGGTTTCTTACAGCCATTGTGGTGTAGTACAAAAGCGTTGACGTAAGCGGAAGTCCTTCATAATGTAGGAACCTGATTAAGAAACCCTGGGCCTTTGTGAGGGTTGTCAATATTGACCCTTATATGTTGCGGGTTATAGGGCCAGGGCTTCTTAATCAGGTTCCTACATTATATGGGGTCTAGGTATATCAGGGTGTAGGCATCGGCCCGAGAAGCAATAGCAAACTTCACAGAACATGGTGCGACACACTACAAGAAGATCTGCCATGCGAACCTTGTTGCTGTTGTCCGCAGCTCTTCGCGTCCGCCAAGACCCAGAAAATAAATTCGGCGGAGCAAAGGTGAACTTTTGCCAGTGCAAATTGTATACCCCCGCCAGTGCAAAGTGTAGGCCTCCAGGCATTCGGACTTCCCAAACCCTTTGCCCTACACCTTAAACCCCAGACTCTAGACTTTTTAAACCCATACATGCTACACCTTAAACCCATAGACACCTTAATTCAACTCATAGACCCTTAAGCCCCAAACTTCAAACCCTAAACCCTCAACCTAAGGTTGGGGCCCGTACCAGGGGCCCATGCTTTCAATCTTTGACTAAACCGATCTAAACCCATACACCATCCTCGATCCTGCTACCTAAAAGCCTGTGTCACGCGTCATATGCTCCATGCTCGAGGCTTCGCCTTGTAAAGGAGCCCTGATGCTCACTATAGTCCTTATATAGTAGTTTCACAACTAGACTATCCCCAGAGCCCTGTTCTAATCATTGAGGGTCGGTTTTAAGGTAAATGTTCGGGAATCATCGAGGCTCGGTTTTAAGTAAATTTTTCGGGCGTAGGGTTTGTGCAGGTGCTTTTGCTGGTTTAGGGTGAAGGGCTGTGGGGTTTTAGGATCTTGGGGTGTAGTAGGGTCTAGGGTTTATAGACTTTAGGGATTCTAAGCCGACCAAAACCCCCCAAACCGTAAACCCCAAACGAGGATTTCCTGGGTCTGCTGGCTGGAGAAATCCTTTACATATATCTTCCGGTTCGCAGAAAAGAGCTGGCCCTGTTGCACCAGCGGGCTTCAGGTGAATGCCCAGCCCTGGACAACATAGGAGCCTCGATATACATATATATATATATACACATGTTTTTCCTGTTTATAAGTAAATAAGTAAATACATATATATATATATATATATACACATGTGCTTTGTTTGCTTATATACTTAACTATCTAGCTGCGTATCAATCCATCTTTCCATCCATCCATCCATCCACTTATCTGTTTATCTATCTATCTAGCTACCTAGCTATCTAGCTATCTAGCTCTCTATCTATCGACTTACCTATTTATTTATGTATCTATCTATCTATTTATCCAACTACCGCTGCATCTATCTATTGATCTATCGATTTGTCGATCTATGTATCTATCTTTCTTTCTTTCTATCGGTTTATCTATCTATTTATCTGTCTATCTACCTATCGGTCTAGCTAGCTAGCTAGCTAGGTAGCTAGCTAGCTACCTATCTACCTATCTACCTATCTATCGATCTATCGATCTATCTATCTATCTATCTATCTATCTATCTAACTATCTATCTGTTTATCTATCTCTATACTCGCACCAACACAGGGACCGGAATACCTATTCACAGTGTCCCCTAATAGCCATAGATTTATGTCACGAACATTAAGTATGATGATATACCCGAAACCCATCTAACATAATCAAGGTTGGTATTAACTGTTTTAGAGTGAGTCTTCCCAAGAGCAACAAACATTCCAAAGACTAGGACTTGGACTGCAGTGGGGCAGCATGCAGCCCATATTTACATGCAGGCTTGTACAGGGAGCTTTCGGCTCCATTGTGTGCAGGTGTTCCTGAGTTTAACGTAGAAGCCCAAATAATCCGCAACAGCAGTCCATTGTGCGCTCCTAATATGTCGTTTATACGATAATGCACCCCAAAATCCCATTCCAATCATTAAGGCCCCTGTATTGCCCTGCAAGGCTCTAGGATGTATTCGTCTCTTATGGTCTCTGGCCCAAAGGTCATGCCTTGGGGGGGGGTTGTGCGATGTTCAGCCTTCGCCTAAGGTTTTGAACGGTTTGTGCTTTGGGGCAGCTATTTGGGGTTATATATTGATCTGCACTCACCAGCCATGTTTTGGTAGCTTCGTGTTATCTTTGACATACTTTCATGACATGCCTTTGGCCTAGTGACCTCGAGTGGGTGTCGGGCTGCCGAACAGATAAGGACCGGGAAGAAGGACACCCCCAAACCCTACAACCCCAAACTGGTTGAGCTCTGAACCCTAAAACGGAAATCCCAAACCAACATCCTAAGCTCTAACCCCAAAGTCCCTGAGCCCTAAACCCCAAACTTCCTAAACCCTAAGCCCCTAACCCCAAAGTCTGAAGCCCAAGTCCCAAAGCCCAGGTTTGAAGGTTTAGGGAACCTAGATCTCAATGGATCAGGGAGCCTGGGAAGCTGAAATGCTCTAGGGCTTAGGATGGGATTTAGAGTTTAGGGTTTTGTTGGGTTTAGGGTTTAGGATTTAGGATTTAGGGAGGAGGCTGGATCACTAGTCGGGTCTTGGGGTTGGGTTTTCAAGGGATAGTCATTAAGATCCGATTTCAGCCCCTATATAGTACGACCTAGCCCGCAAAACCCTGCTATTGAGGTGCAATGTGTTAGGTCTTGCCCGCCAAGACCACCTGCATGCATCGAATGCGTTCAATTTTCGACCATCTGTCTCGTGTGTTCTCTAGGTCCTGAGACAAACTCAGAAGTTGTGAACGGGCTGCGACCCGAAAGGGCAGTCTGGCATACGGCTCCTTCCTTCAACCGTACAGAGTGTCGAAGGCCGCCCTAAACCCTAAACCCCCAGCCTTAGACCTCTGAACCCTAGAATAGCGGATTGAAAATTACAAATACTATTTCTTCGGTGATTCCCCATTATACTTGCTCGAGACACTACTTGGAGGATCATGGGACTTAGTAAGTAATGTTATAAGTACCTTAATAGGGGTCATAAGCACCCTAAACCGAAACTCTAAACCCTAAACCCTAAACCCTAAACCCTAAACCCTAAACCGACACTCCACGGCCCTCAACCCGAAGTGCTGGACCTTAAACTGCGCACAAGCAAACCCTTGAAAACCCTGAACCTCAAAAGGGTTTAGGGTTTAGGGTTTAGGGTTTAGGGTTTAGGGTTTCCTAATTCAGGGGCCTAAGTACTCCCCAATATTTTTCGTTTGGGGCTTCCTTATTATAATTATAGTATAATATACCGCAAAACCCTATTCTAATTGTGAAGGCCCCTACATGAATTCGGAAACCCTGACCCCTGCATCCTAGACCCTAAGCCCAACCCTACACCCTAAACCCTAAACCCCCAAAGCCCTAAACCCCAAATTCCTAAACCCTAAACCCTAAACTCCGAAGCCCTAAACCCTAAACCCTAAACCCTAAACCCTAACTACACCCTGAACTGCTGCTGATGCCAGACTGAAGGAGCGAGCGCCTCGAAAGACATGGACGTGCGCAGGATGCGAAGCCAAGGGAGCCGTGCGGGGTTTAGGGTTTAGGGTTTAGGGTTTAGGACCCTAAGTACTAAAGACCTACTTGTTTAAGGGCTGGTATAAGGAAATCACAATATGGAACTCTAAAAAGGTAGGTTCTTTAGGGTCCAGGTAGGGTTTAGGGAAAGCTGCAAAGGGTTTAGGGGTTTGTAGCCTTTAGGATTTCGGGCTTGGGGTCCATGCACCAACGGAAGTAGAGAGTCATTGAAAACTTCCAGGCCATGTAAAGTTTGCAGTATGTTGAGCTCTTTACATCAACTTTCTTGCGAGAACGTGTGGTGCTGAATTCCCTGATAAACTGAAGGCTATGAGCGCCGCTGCCTCGACTCTCCACCCTAAACCCTAAACCCTAAACCCTTTTCCCGTAACCCGTAAGAGCTTGTGTCTTGGTTTAGGGCTTCTGTATAAGGGTTGACAGGAGTTCAGGGTTTAGTGGTGCTCAGACCTTCCAATGTCCCTCTGGACTATACCTGAAATCATGTGGGTGGTTGTCAAACTTAGGGTCCCTTTTTGGGTACCCTAAATATTAGGTGCCGTATTATATTAGGGACCCCAAAAGGGACCATAATTTTGACAACGTCCCATGTAAGGGACCCTACTATCATTCCAGGTATCTTCCGTAGTTAAGGGATATTGGAAGGTTTAGTGGTGCTGTTCCGTCCACAGATTGAAGGGATGGTGATAAGTTCAGGTCTGGATTTGAAAGCCTCAATTTCGAGTCATTAAGACTCGCATCGCTCTACCACTTTCAATAGCGTGAGCACTCCGACTGCCGTTGTCGCTCATTTCAATACTCTTCAGAAGGAAGAACAAGACTTGAGGTTTCTTATGTATAGTAGTAGGTTCTGAATCAGGAACGAAATCGCACTACATCAGCAGTATCTAA